GAGGGCAAGAAGCCGGATGCTGAGCATGTTGTTCAGACCACCCCTGAGACGGCTCTTCTCTACAGGTACGTGAGGTTGATGCATTGCCATGGCATGGACGTGTGCTGACTGTGACGTAGATTGAGTGGCGACTACAATCCCCTTCACGCTACCCCAGAACCTGGGCAGAAGATGGGCTTTGGAGGCACCATCATACACGGACTGTTCTCGTGGAACTCGACTGCTCATGCCTTGGCCAAGCTTCTCGGAAACTCTGATCCAGCCAATATCAAGGAGTTTGGTGCTCGTTTCGCCAGCCCAGTCAAACCTGGGGACGTTCTCGTCACGCAGATATGGAGGACAGGCGACATCGACAAGGACGGATGGGAGGATATCAGGTTCGTGACCAGCGTCAAGGGCGGTAGAGTATGTCTCAGCAACGGTAGAGCAAAGATGAGAGCGACTGCTAGTAAGAGCAAGCTCTAAGATTGCCCAGTCGAGTTTCGAACTAGTCACGGAAGAATGTGGTAAAGGTCAAGATTGGATGGATAGTTTGAGTTCATTGTCATAGTTGGTACGAGGATACCAAGCCCGCAATTGCTCCTGTCAGAGCTGTATCTCCCGTGTGCCAAGGTATAGCTATAATTACAGACCCATGTCACTCCCGATCGCAATGCAAGATTTACGAAAGCGCCACAATGCCTTAGGCGTAAATGGAGATGCTGTGTGTGATCAGTACTGGTCATTATTTCTGATAGAGGGAGAACATACGATTCCTTCTTCTTGGATTGCACCTCGGAAATAGCATCGACATAATGTTCGTGAGAGATCTTAGAGTGGCCGGTCCTGAGAGCAATCATGCCTGCCTCGACACAGACAGCCTTGAGCATGGCACCACCAAACTCGTCGGTACTTCTTGCCAATTCGGGCCAGTTCACGGCGTCGTCGACGGTCATCTTTCGGCTGTGAATGCGCAGGATCTGGGCGCGAGACTCTTCGTTCGGTAGGGGGAACTCGATCTTTCGGTCCAAACGACCAGATCTGAGAAGGGCCGGGTCGAGGACATCGACTCTGTTTGTGGCGGCCAGAACCTTGATTCTGTCGTCACTTGCGAAACCGTCGAGCTGATTGAGGAGTTCAAGCATAGTTCGCTGGACTTCTCTATCACCACTCTTATCACTGTCGAAACGCTTGGTGCCGATAGCATCCAGCTCATCAATGAAAATGATCGAAGGAGCCTTCTCCTTTGCGAGGGCGAAGCAGTCACGGACAAGCTTGGCACCGTCACCGATAAACATCTGAACCAGTTGAGGACCGGCAAGTTTGAGGAAGGTAGCGTCAGTCTGAGCAGCACAAGCACGGGCAAGAAGTGTCTTTCCTGTTCCGGGAGGGCCGTACATGAGTGCACCTATTGGACTTGTCAGTAAGGCGGGGAGAGTAGGTGCGCTGTGCTGATGAGGTGGACCAACCCTTGGGTGCCTTGATGCCAATCTTCTTGAAGCGCTCAGCCTCCTTCATGGGCCACACAATAGCCTCGACCAGCTCTTCAATCTGCTTGTCCAAACCACCAACGTCTGTGTACTTTTCGGTAGGTTTCTCGTCAACCTCCATAGCCTTTACTCTGCTGTCGTATTCGGCGGGGAGAGTATCGAGGATGAGGTACGAGTCTTTGTTCACACCAATGAGGTCGCCAGGCTTGAGTTTCTCGTGGTCGACCAGACCGATGAGGGGAAGGAAGATGGTCTGTCTGGTGGAAGTCTTGATGACGGCGGATTTGCCAACGCGAGTGGCGTCAAGGTCAATGTTGGCACCTTCCTCAGCCGCCTCCTCAGTGACATCGAGGTCAAGGATTTCGACAACGTTTCCAACGAGGTACGGCAATTGTCTGAATAGCCATGTTAGTAAGAGGGCCAATGTGCGTCGTGTGCTCCGGGAAAGGGTAGAGCGTGAGGTGGTACAACTGACCTGTTGTTGTCAATCTTGTCGACGTTGTCTTTGATCTTCTCCAGCATGGCCGCCTTTTCGTGTGTCAAGCGCTGGAACTCGCTCCTCATGATGCGCGTGTCATTCTCGAGCAGTCGCCGCCGTGTGACAATGTCTCTTGTGCTGGAGTTGAGGACGTCCGAATCTATTACCTCCTCCTCCTCCTCCTCCTCTTCTTCCTTCTTCTCGTCCTTCTTGCCGCCATCAGCATCCTTCATGTCCGCATCACCTCCCTCTCCAGGCTTCTTGGGATCTTGGTCGTCGCCATCCTTCTTGTCTTCCTGCTTCTCTTCGTGCTCAAGGGCGTCGAGATCTTCAAGCGTCGACATGACGTTATTTACAAATGTGTTGTTTTTCGTTGACCGACTTCTCTGCAGGAAATAAAGATTTTGGATGGACCAGTGACGGAAGTTGTACGGCGATGGAGTGGTCAAGTGTTTAGATGTTGCGTCAGGTAACTTGTGAATGATGCTAGCGTAAGGTAGTGAGCTCGGCGCCGCACTGCTCTCTCTCCCCGGAGCTTATCTGGCTTACATAAGTCAACCCGTCTTTAAACAGAACATCTCCTTCACAATCGTTGTATTTTTAGGTAAGGTTCTCATTATTGTAACAAACACAGGTCGCGTCTACACCTAGTGTTTCTTTCTTTTCAATTCTTTCAGCGGTATTGGATTCCTTATCTACCGTCACTAATCCCCGTCCATTCTGCAATGCCCTTCTATCAGCCAGTCACCGTTGTCTCCAGCACTTTCTCTCGTCCCATGTTGCTTAATTTGAACTTGGAAATGAAATCGTCCCGATTGACTATTTCTCATCAGCTTCTTTCCATGGTCAGAACAAGATAAAAGTAAGCTTACTGTAGCCGCCAGACATGCGTCTTTTACCAGTGAACTGAGATCTGCCATGCAGCACTCGCCAGTTATCGAAGACTGTCAAATAATTAGTGATGCCCCATTGGCATGCCTTCATGACTTACTGAGTGGCACTCCTGGCTCAAGTTGCGTCCAGTATTGATTACTGGGCTCGTTCAGGATGCGATTGAACTTGCTGTTGTGAATCAGCCAGATAGCACTCCAGTCCGCCGCCCCTGGCCTTACTTACCCTGCAGCGTCATACCACTTGTCCACTAGCTCGCCTTCAGCTTCGATACCTGCTCTGTCGTCGTTGTTCCATCGCACCATCACGAGATGGCCCATCACCGGGTCATGCGAGAGCACAGGGAAGCATGTATATGGCTGAATACTGGCGTCCTCGTTCCCACTGGCATGGCTCCATACTCTGACTTCACTCAGAATCCGATAGGCCTCTTTATCCTCGTGGAACAGCTTTGTGGCTGCTGAAAAGCCATCAACCAGGAGAGATTCGCCACCCGAGCCACCTGTATGCGATAGCATATGGAACATCTGAAGCCCAGCTGGCTCTGAGAAGTATGTTGTATCTGTGTGAGCTCCAAGTAAAAGATTGGTGTAAGCCGTGTCTATGCAAGTACTTGTGAGCAAACGATGGTTGCGGTCGTATTTAGTTCTCACCTTTCGAAGCCATGTTGGCTGTAAAGTCGTAGAATCCACCTATATGTATCATCAGCCACTAATTAGCTGCAAGAGTAGGACGCACTATTTCCAGCTCCTTACCATAATGAGTTTCGCGGATAGGTCCGATCTTCTCAAGCAACTTTTCAGTCGCTTGTGGGTCTATGGGACAGCCCTTGACAAACGAGAACCCATGAGCATTGATTTGCCGTGTCCATTCAGCAACTCCATTTCCGTTCATGATGCTATCGTATTCGACGGTAGGGGGCCTCTTCGCAATCGTGCTATCAAAAAGGACACGGCTGTATAGCGTCAGCACTTGTACATACAAATATCTTTCCCTTGACTAACTCTACGATTCCTCGCCTCTGAAGATCAAAAGCTTGTGGCTTGCTCTTGCGCAGCAAGTTGATGGGATAAGTGCTCTGATGCCCATCCTCCCCTTTTGCAAATCAGCAAGATGGTACGGCAATCTGTGACTCCACTGACATGTTATCCTTGCAAGCGATTCGCTTGGAGTGTAAGAGAAACTGCTTATTGCGACATTTGGATCAATCTATTCGCAATCAATACGCTGTCGTTGCCAAAAGAGAAGAGACTCATACCTTGAAAGTATCCATCTGCCGTTGCCGCGTCTCGGGATGAATACACTTATCGCACGGGCATTGATCTCTGCTAAGAGTTTAGTGGACAGAGATCTCATAATCATCATCGCCTACTCCTGCAAATCATACCTTAACCATCGTTTCGAGCTAATGACAATACGTTAGCCGGCGACTTCACAAACGGAGAGAGCATGAGTGTTCTACGTACACCAGTTCACTGTGCCCATTCTTTGAATCTTTGAGATATAGATTTTGTCCGTCCCATGTAGGTACAGGAACAGTAGTATCCTTATGGTTCGGAACACTTGCGTATGGGGACTATCAAAGATTAGGATCGACCTATGTCACTTTGTCGTATGACACTTACAATACGAAGTCTAGACTGTGTGTAGATTTCACCGGAGTTTGGTTGTGTGTCATCTCTAGGCTGTTGCACTTGTGCTAGATTGCTAAGTTGTGAAGCAAGTGATGAGAATGAGAATCCACGTTTCCTTCTATACAGTCCTCCACCTGGTATGACTAAGTGTCTGGCATATGTAGGTGCCTTGATGAAGCACCGTCGCGGAACACCAGAAATCATGCTGAACTTTTGCTGGTTAGCTTTCCGACCACATCATCAAAGATTGTTTGACAATTGATTGACTTGATCATGGACCTCGGATTCCGCAATGCCTCGATCTCGTTCGGCGTTCGGCTGCATGGACGGGCGGCGCCAAGATCTCCAACAAGTATCAAAACATTCACACGGCATTCTAATTTCTGCGTTACAGTACACACCATGAAAGATTTTGCAGGGTCTCCCGTCACTTGTGTTAAGTATTATGTGACGCAAAAGCATTGCTACGCTCATTACGGTACACCTACCTGCCAGAACGACGAACATTTTTCCAAGGGCAAAACAAAGCGAATCGCAGGGGACTCGAACCCCCAGCCTTCGGCAGATCAACATCTCTGTGCCGGAAGCCGACGCGCTACCATTGCGCCAACGATCCTGAAGCGAAGGGGCATCGCTACGTTACTTTAGCGCGAAACTTTTGCAATTATATACTTTAGTCGTATTTCTACCCTTCGCCTTATCTCGCATTGTAAACCGCTTCTCGGAGGCGAACGACATCGATATTTTTTATCGATATTCATCAGTTTATTGACAGTTTCATCTACAAGTCGACTCGACGAGTCGGACTATCCAACTCCCGTCGATTTTAGTCGAGGGAAAGGGTGCTACCCGACTATCCTAGCAACGCTGTTGCTACAGTTGTACAAAGGAATCGACATCGATATTTTTTATCGATATTTATCATTTTATTGACAGTTTCATCTATAAGACGACTCGACGAGTCGGACTATCCAGCTCCTATTAATTTTAATTAAGGGAAAGGGTGCTGCCTGACTGTCCTAGCAACGCTGTTGCTATAATTATACTAGCGTTGTCCCTAAAGGGACTAATTGCTGCTATAACAGCTTAAAGAAGAGCTAAAAGTATTAAATAAAGAGGCAGAGAGCTGATTCAGCCTATCCGCTCTTTTAATCCAAATAATAATACTGTCTTTGCTAAAGATATAATAAAACGTCTTATTAAGATAGCAGTAAACGCTCAGAATAGCAAACTTAACAAACTGCTTAAGCAACTTAAGATTCAGAATAAGACTCTTTAAAATTAGAATAAGACTCTCTAAAATTAGAATATGACTTTTTAAAACCAGACTGAGATTTTTAAAACTCAGAATAAGGTTCTCTATTAGGAGAATACTACTTTAATAGCGTTACTTAACGTTATTATAAAAAAAACTTGACACAGTTAAAGCGAAGCTTAATATTATAAAAATAAGATTTAAATATACGTTTATAAGAACTAAAAAGCTTAAAAAGAAGTTTAAAATAATAAATACTAAATTAGCAGATTTAAAAGCTGATATTAAGATTCTTAATATAGAAATTAGGACTATTAGCTCTAATATTAATAAAGGAAGAACAGTCCTCTTGACTTTTAAACAGTTAAGCCTATTGTCCCTAGCCAATCTTAATATAGCAGTATTACCATTAATTTTATATGCTTTTATAATATTAAGATTAGTTAATCCATTATTATTAGCTACTTAACCTCCTATAAGAAAGGGAACGCTATTAACTCTGCTAACTTCTTTAAAGAAGCTATAACAACTTTTAGAAGTTATAATCAATATTAGCTAGATGCTAGCTAAATAATATAAGCTAGCTATAGATAGCAAAGCTATAATAAAGAAAATTAAGGAAGCAATTACATTCTAGCTATTAATATATATAATTACTATTAAAGGAATTTAAACAAAAGCGAAATCTATAAGGATTATTACTTAAAATAGAAAAGACATAATATAATTGCAGCTAAATAATAGATAAGTCCATTAAGTATTTAATATAGCTTAAACTCACAAAGAGGATTGTTTCCTAATTAAAGTCAATAATGCATTTAGAGCAGCAGTTCTAATACTAGGTATTAGAATAATCTATTTAGAGTTTTTAATAATATTTATAGCTAAGAATGAGTTTATAAATGCTATTAAGGTATTCTAGCTATCTAAAGGGGAAAAACCGGCTAGATTAATAGTAGTCTACCTAGCTATAGCTGAAAATGCTTAATAAGCCCTTGCTAAATAATAGGTTAAGATTAATAGAAATATAGCTTAAGTTAGTAAATACAAGAAGCATTAACGCTTATAGAGATACTATAACTGCAACAAATATAGCTATTATTAGGCTAGATATAGCTAACTAATAAAATGTAGCAAATATATAGAGAACTATAAAACTAACAATTATAAAGCTATAACCCTTAAATATACAGTATATAGCGGATTACATATAGCTATAGATACAGAATGCTCTATATATTGTAATATAGTAAATAGAATCTATAAAAGTAGATAACATATTAGCTAAGCTACTTATAATGAAGATACAGAATGGTAGACTATTACTAGCTAATAAACTAGATAGGAAGTCACTATAAGCAATATATAATAGGAAATACCAGTTTCCTATTAGCAAACGTAAATAGACAATCCCTAGTCTAATTCAGCCTTTTTAATAATTAATCTATTAATTACTTTATAGTAATTATAATTACTAAACTAAGCATTGCTAATATTAATAGTAAGCTATATATCTCTTAATATCAGTGCTGAACTATTATAACGCTATTTATTTAATAGAAGGGACTAACGCACTACGCGTTTTAATTACTATTATATATTTATAAAGATGTTTTATTTGTTTAATTCCCTATATAGTTGCTAGATATAACTATAGGAGTTATCATTACCTTAATAGAACACTTTTTCATTACGTTAATCTATATCCTAGGCTATAGCTAATACGCCCCTTCTAAACAGGACTTAGGGGAGTTGAGTACTTTTAAACTCACAGTGTTAAGCAACACTATTTATAAAGCTAAAAGGAAGCATAGAGGAAACCTCCCTATTATGATAAAAAGCAACTTTAATTACTATAACCTAATATAAGAAGAAACTAACATGCTATAATTATAATATAAAAGAGAAAATGAGCTAATACTTTAATAAATACATTAGCACAATATTTTCTTAGCTTTATTAAGCAGTATTATTATATTTTCTTAAAAACGCTTTAAAATAACTATTAACTTTATATTAGTATCTAACGCATTTAAAAACCAAGTTACTAAATGCAATATCTATTTAACCTAATATAAATTGAACTATAAAGCTATAATACTTCGAATTAAAAGAACTATAATAGCTGCTTTATTAAAAACTAAATACAACTTTAGGAAAACGGATTAAGATAAAGCTATTAAAGTATTTAATAAATAGCAATTATTAATAACTAATATTAATAATATAACTAAACTTAACTAAGCAGTTATAGAGATCCAGAACACAATAAGCCAATATATATAGAACTACAGCTTAATAGTAAAGGAATCTCTATATATAAAAGTATAATAGGATAATAAGCTTACAAAGCTCTATAATAAATATATATAATAACAGAACTGGAACAATACGCTATAGGTAATAGAGCTAAATAGGGAAGAGAGTTAATACTAAGCTAGGTATACTAAACACTGGTTTTATAAAGGCATTTGTAATAAAAAGCAACTACATTGGAATAACTTTCTAGTATATATAAACAATATCTGAAAAGCAGCTAGATACCTTGACTTACAACTATCAGTATTTAGCAATATTCCTACTATAGTTACTAGCATTAAGAGCTAGGAAATAGAGCTTAAAAGCAACAGCATTAAAGCAACTAAACTACTTTAGTGCTTTTCCCTACTAGTTCTAAAAGGCTGGAAAGAGGATATGCTAAACCCTAATATAAGATATATAGATAATCTGGATATCTTAATTAAAGAGGTAACTAAGATAATAGCTAAAATTAGTTTATATAAAGCGCTAGGTATAGACAGCATTCTAAATATTGTATAAAAACGCTTATAGTCCATTTTAAGTAACTAAGTTATTAATATCTTTAATGCGTTATATTAACTAGAATACGTGCTATCTATATAGAAGATAGTGCAAATCCTACTATTATAAAAATTAGAGAAACCTAACTACTATATAGCGAAAGCATATTGCCCTATCTCCCTCCTAGCTATTCTAAGCAAATTAATAGAATTAATATTAGTAAGAAGAATATTATACTAGATAGAGACTTTTAACCTCCTTTTAAAGACATAATTTAGCATTAAGCTAAAGTAATTATGCAACTAAGTATTGCTTCTCTTAGTTGAAAAAATCTTTAAAGTATAATAATAAAAGAAAGTCCTTTTCTTTATTAGCTTTAATATAAAAAGAGCGTATAATAGTATTCCTTAATAAGTACTTATTAGTTAGCTATGTGTAGAAGGAATCCTAATCTAAATGGTTATATAGGTTAACTCCTTTTATATTAATTAAATAGCTACAGTATTAATTAATAATATAGAATTAAGTTAAGTTACCTTTATAAAATTAGGGCTTTTATAAAAATCAACATTTGCTCTAATTCTATATATCTTCTTTAACGCGTTTTTAATAAAGGAAAAGATTAATAGGAAATAAGGCAATATAGGGTTTATTAATAACTATATCTAATAAGCTATTTTAGAATTAATAGAAAAAAATATATTAGTACTTAACAATAAGGTTATTCTAAAAGCTTTCTAATAGGTAAAAAAACAATAGCGCTACATTTAAAAGCAATAAGACAATTCTTATATATTTTATAAAAAATTGTAAAAAGATTAGCAACACTGATTCCCTATTAAGAATAAGCAATTATATAGTTAAATTATTTATAAAAGAGAGAATTCTAAAAGTTATCTTTAACGCTAAGCTGAGATTTAAGAACTATTTAGCTAAAGTCAAAATAAGAGGATAGAGAAGCGCTAGTCAACTTAAACGCTTTACCTATATTAGACCATAATTAGCATATTAACTTTATTAAACTATAGTAGCTTTAAAAACAGACTACGCAGCTATAATATAGTATTTTTAGTCCTTTAAAGGAAAAATCAATAATAGTATTACTAAATCCTTAATTCTATATAATAGATAGAAGCTTAAGCAATAGTCAAATGCTTCTATACAACCTCAGTTAAGGCAGCTAGCGCTAAAGCGTTACTCCCTTTTTTATATATCAAACTACAATTAAAGATTAGCAAATTCTAAATAGGACTCTATATGCTGCTAGAAACTAACTTATTAAAAGCACAGTTTAGAAAACTAGTTAAGAAACCTAAAGCGAAGTTGTTCACTTTCTTTCTTTACAATATGGAAATACAGCTTAGTAAGATAGGAATAAATATAGAAACTATTCTAGCATAGATCGCTCTATTATAGAATATAATAATAATTAACTGCGAATCTGATTAATACAGCTTTAATAAAGTATATAAAAACTACTTTAAGATAAAGGACCAACGCCTAAACATCTTTGCTAATAGCTCTGTTACTAACAGATAGATAGGGGTTAGGGTAGCTAT